TTACTCATGACGGCACAAGAGTCGAATACAATCTTGAATCACGTTAGTTCTGTCATTCTGCCGATAAGCTGGGCAGCAATTCTGGTCAGTTTACCCCAAAGTTCTGTCCCCTGAAAGAAACATAATCAAACCCTAACTTTTAAAACATGTTGGTCATTCTCTGTACAATTCAAATCTAGGGTTATATAAACTAGACCCAATCTTGTAGGCCTTAGTACACAGCCTCGAGCAAGGTTGCAGCGAAATGTGTGTACTCTAATCATTACTTAGGTTGTGGTAACTTATGTATGTGTGTATATATATATATATATATATTATATATATATATATATATATATATATATAATATTATATATATATTATATATTGTATGTATATATATATATATATATTATATATATATATACATATATGTATATATAATAATTATATATATATATATATATATATATATTATATATTATATATATATATATATATATATATATATATATAATCATATATAATATATATATATATATATATATATATATATATATATATATATATATATATATATATATATATATATATATATATATATATATATGACTGCTCTTCTTTCCTTCGCTTCCTCTTCCAACTCACGTAAGAAATCTTGAAAAATCTGGCTTTGAAAACTTTTTCTGACACGAGCGAATATTCTTTCCCGTCCTTTGAGTCTGTCACGAGAGAGATGTTTTCCGTGTCCCAGAAAACCGTGGCCAAAAATCCGCCACAACTGCACACGGGGGGTGGGGGACCAATAATATTTTGGAGACTGTACTGCCCAGTGTTTCAGTGTTCCAGTGTTCCAGTGTTCCAGTGTTCCAATGTTCCAATGTTCCAGTGTTCCAGTGTTGTTCACATTATTAAGTTCAAGTTTATTGGAGACTTAACTGATACATTTCTTGTATTTTATTCTATATTGTTATGAATAATAATAATGATAATGATAATAATAATAATTAATAATAATAATTAATAATAATAATAATAATAATAATAATAATAATAATAATAATAATAATAATAATAATAATAATAATAATAATAATAATAATAATAATCAGAGTAATATTAAAAATCGGAATTATTATTATTATTATCTGTATTATTGCCAACATTTACATCATATCATATCCTAATCTGTAGGAACTGGCTCCTCTCTCTCTCTCTCTCTCTCTCTCTCTCTCTCTCTCTCTCTCTCTTGTTATCAAGGGATTTACTACCGACACTCTTAATAGCTAGAGAAGGAACAGTGATTAGCGAACGTTGGATCGATCCTCAAAAACTGATTTCTTCATCTCAGCAAATACCATCCACAACCTCGTTAGTGAGAGTGGGAAGAGCAGACGAGGAGGAGGAGAGGTGAAAAAGACACATATAAGAGATGGAAGGGAAGGGAAGACACATAAGGAAGACAAGAAGTGGAAGACACATACAGGAAGATACATATAGGAAGACACATAAAGGAAGACACCTATAGGAAGACACATATAGGAAGAAACATATAGGAAGACACATACAGGAAGATACATAAATGAAGACACATACAGGAAGACACATATAGGAAGACACCTAAAGGAAGACACATACAGGAAGACACATAAAGGAAGACACATATAGGAAGACACATATAGGAAGACACATATAGGAAGACACATACAGGAAGACACATATAGGAAGACACATAAAGGAAGACACATATAGGAAGACACATATAGGAAGACACATATAGAAAGAAACATAGGAAAACACATAAAGGAAGACACATACAGGAAGACACATATAGGAAGACACATAAAGGAAGACACATAAAGGAAGACACATGTAGGAAGACACATATAGGAAGACACATATAGGAAGACACATATAGGAAGACACATAAAGGAAGACACATATAGGAAGACACATATAGGAAGACACATATAGGAAGACACATATAGGAAGACACATAAAGGAAGACACATATAGGAAGACACATATAGGAAGACACATATAGGAAGACACATAAAGGAAAACACATATAGGAAGATACATATAGGAAGACTTATAAAGGAAGACACATATAGGAAGACACATAAAGGAAGACACATATAGGAAGACACATAAAGGAAGACACGTAAAGGAAGGCACATATAGGAGGACACATATAGGAAGACACATATAGGAAGACACATATAGGAAGACACATATAGGAAGACACATATAGGAAGACACATAAAGGAAGACACATATAGGAAGACACATATAGGAAGACACATATAGAAAGAAACATATAGGAAAACACATAAAGGAAGACACATACAGGAAGACACATATAGGAAGACACATAAAGGAAGACACATAAAGGAAGACACATATAGGAAGACACATATAGGAAGACGCATATATGAAGACACATAAAGGAAGACACATATAGGGAGATACAAATACAAAAGACACATATAGGAAGACACAAAGAAAGATTCTTATAGGAAGACACATATAGGAAGACACATATAGGAAGACACATAAAGGAAGACACATATAGGAAGACACATAAAGGAAGACACATATAGGAAGATACATAAAGGAAGACATATAAAGGAAGACACATATAGGAAGACACATATAGGAAAACACATATAGGAAGACACATAAAGGAAGACACATATAGGAAGAAACATAACGGAAGACACATATAGGAAGACACATATAGGAAGACACATAAAGGAACACACATATAGGAAGACACATAAAGGAAGACACATATAGGGAGATACATAACGGAAGACACATATAGGAAGACACATAAAGGAAGACACATATAGGAAGACACATATAGGAAGACACATAAAGGAAGACACATATAGGAAGACACATAAAGGAAGACACATATAGGAAGACACATATAGGAAGACACGTATAGGAAGACACATAAAGGAAGACACATATAGGAAGACACATAAAGGAAGACACATATAGGAAGACACATATAGGAAGACATATATAGGAAGACAAATATAGGAAGACACATATAAGAAGAAACATAGGAAAACACATAAAGGAAGACACATATAGGAAGACACATAAAGGAAGACACATATAATAAGATACATAAAGGAAGACAAAGGATAACACATATAGGAAGATACATATAGGAAGACACATATAGGAAGACACATAAAAGAAGACACATATAAGAAGATACATAAAGGAAGACACATAAAGGAAGACACATATAGGAAGACAAATATAGGAAGACACATATAGGAAGATACAAATAGAAAGACACATATAGGAAGACACAAAGGAAGATACATATAGGAAGACACATATAGGAAGACACATAAAGGAAGACACATATAATAAGATACATAAAGGAAGACACATAAAGGATAACACATATAGGAAGATACATATAGGAAGACACATATAGAAAGACACATAAAGGAAGACACATATAGGAAGATACATAAAGGAAGACACATATAGGAAGACACATATAGGAAGACACATAAAGGAAGACACATATAGAAAGACACATAGAGGAAGACACATATAGGAAGACACATATAGGAAGACACATAAAGGAAGACACATATAGGAAGACACATATAGGAAGACACATAAAGGAAGACACATATAGGAAGACACATAAAGGAAGACACATATAGGAAGACACATATAGGAAGACACGTATTGGAAGACACATAAAGGAAGACACATATAGGAAGACACATATAGGAAGACACATATAGGAAGACACATAAAGGAAAACACATATAGGAAGATACATATAGGAAGACTTATAAAGGAAGACACATATAGGAAGACACATAAAGGAAGACACATATAGGAAAACACATAAAGGAAGACACAAAGGAAGACACATATAGGAAGACACATATAGGAAGACACGTAAAGGAAGACACATATAGGAAGACACATAAAGGAAGACACATAAAGGAAGACACATATAGGAAGACACATATAGGAAGACACATAAAGGAAGACACATACAGGAAGACACCTACAGGAAGACACATATAGGAAGACATATATAGGAAGACACATATAAGAAGACACATATAGGAAGATACATATAGGAAGACACACATATAGGAAGACACATATAGGAAGACACATATAGGAAGACACATATAGGAAGACACATATAGGAAGATACATACAGGAAGACACATATAGGAAGACACAAAGGAAGACACATAAAGGAAGACACGTGTAGGAAGATACATAAAGGAAGACACATAAAGGAAGACACATATAGGAAGACACATAAAGGAAGACACATATAGGAAGACACATAAGACACATATAGGAAGACACGTAAAGACACATATAGGAAGACACATGTAGGAAGACACATAGACACATATATGAAGACACATATAAGAAGACGCATAAAGACACATATAGGAAGACACAAAGAAAGACACATAAAGGAAGACACATATAGGAAGACACAAAGAAAGACACATAAAGGAAGACACATAACAGGAGGTGACAGTCACTGGCAGACAAGAGGCGCAGGCGAGAGTAATTGATAGATTGATTGACATAATTGATGTGACTGGCGAGGGGAACCAGGAGAGAGGGGAGAGGGAGGAGGTGTGGTAAAGAAGGAGAGGAACGGGAGGAAAAATATGGGATGGGGAGGTTGAAAGATGGTAGAGAGAGAGAGAGAGTGATTCTCACTCCATCTTGAGTAACGAGTCTCCTGTTGATGTGGTAGCGAGTGGGTCTCCCACCCCACTCCCTCTCCCACTCATCGTTGTTCTTACTGATGATATTACTAAACTATTAATGATTATTATAATTATCATTATTATTATTATTATTATTTTAATAAAGGTGCCGTCAGTATGTCTTAATTACTCAATTTTATCTCTCTAATTTTAAATATCCCTCTCCTGCTCTCTCTCTCCCTCTCTCTCTCAGCCTCCCACTCATCTGTGACCTGATCTACGTTTCAGAGCGTCGTGTGTGAGACAGAAGTGTCGTACGTCACTCAGCGTCGTCCATGACGTACCCGATACTACTGCAAGACTGTCTCCATACCTTCCATCACCTCAACCGTTCCTCCCACGGTACGTCTCTCTATGTCATGGTACGTCTCTACGTCGTGGTAGGTCATGCTGGGTCATGATAGGTCATGCTGGGGCATGGTAGGTCATGCTGGGTCATGGTAGGTCATGCTGGGTCATGGCAGGTCATGCTGCGTCATAGTAGGTCATGCTGGGTCATAGTAGCTCCTGCTGGGTCATGGTAGGTCGCATGACCTACCATGGTAGCTCCTATTGGTTCATGGCAGGCAATGCTGGGTCATGGTAGGCTATGGTAGGTCGTGCTGAGTCATGGTAGGTTCTGCTAATCTTTGGTAGGTCATAGAAAGCCATATATGACATGAGATTATAAGTGACTTGAGATTGTAAGTGGCAGTGAGAGTATAAGTGACTTGAGATTAGGACAGACACGACAGTATAAGTGAGATTAGAGAGGCAGACACAAGAGTATAAGTGAGATTAATGTAGACACGAAGAATATAACTAGGGGTAGATCCATTATGAAGCTGAACCTTCAGGAACCCTAATCCTGGAGGGGCGCACAAGCGACTTTAGTCCACACACACACACACACACACACACACACACACACACACACACACACACACACACACACACACACACACACACACACATACACATTGTGTGTGTGTGTGTGTGTGAGTGTGTGTGTGTTTTAACTTGGGTTACAGGAGTCGAGTCTCGGCCTCTGTAGGCCTATTTCGTAAAGAATATTTTCATAAAAAAGTCATTCTCTTCTCAACTTGGGTTAAGTACCAGAGGTTGCACGTAAGTTTATTCAGGTATACACAAATACAGTTACATAGATTATCATACACGGCAGCATATGTGTAGAGAACCTGGGATAACCCAAAAAAAGTCCGAGTGACTTATTTCCATTGGGATCCTTGTAATAAATATTTTTTATTTAAAAATTAAAAACAGGTATGTAACCTAACTATGCAAAAACAGTTACAATGAAAGAAGATATATCAGGGAAGTTAAAATTAGTTATTTTTATGGAAGGAATCACTCTCCTCCGTTTCTGCTGCGTGAGAAAAGTATGTATGGTTACACTTCCTATTTAAAACATTAACTTTCATTATTCTTATATGCATTTACTGAATTTATTATCATCATAACCATAAGTTTTTAAAGTTTTGGAGGGGTAAGCCAGCGGAAGGCCTCGGTCAGATGACCCAAAGCTCCCAGTTGTGGGTCATGATATGAAAGTATAATGACTTTTTTTTTAGGATTTGAGACGCAAACATTGTAAATGTTATATTTTGCCAGAGGACATGACCAGGAGGCTGTCAAGTACACATAGCACTGCAGCTGTTAAAAGCAGTGCTTTCAGTGGTGGTGACAGTGGTCAAGAGTCCGGGGCTGCTGTTATCAGTATTACTGAGACTGTCACAGAGCGTTGACCTGTCCATCAATGGTATAAAATACCGACAACATGAAGAATTAGACAGCTGTGCGACAACTATATCACATGTGTCTAATTCTTCACGCGTTGACTGGCACTTTGTCGTGCGAGATGACCAACGCTGCGAGACGACCAACGCTGCGAGACGACCAATGCTGCGAGACGACCAACGCTGCGAGACGACCAATGCTGCGAGACGACCAACGCTGCGAGACGACCAATGCTGCGAGACGACCAACGCTGCGAGACGACCAAAGCTGCGAGACGACCAACGCTGCGAGACGACCAACGCTGCGAGCACCTATGAAAGATCTACACCATTTTTCACACAGGATAATCCTCGGGCAGAGTGGCGTCGACACCAGTGACTTGTCACAAATATTGAAACCTCGGTGCATGGTGGGTGTCAAATGGAACGACTTTAATTACTTAGTCCTGGCATTGTGACCTTACCTCTCTGAAAGTATTAGACGTACCAAACATTGTGACCTTACCTTTCTGAAAGTGTTAGACGTACCAAACATTGTGACCTTACCTCTCTGAAAGTGTTAGACGTACCAAACATTGTGACCTTACCTTTTTGAAAGTGTTAGACGTACCAAACATTGTGACCTTGCCTCTCTGAAAGTGTTAGACGTGCCAAACATTGTGACCTTACTTCTCTGAAAGTGTTAGACGTACCAAACATTGTGACCTTACTTCTCTGAAAGTGTTAGACGTACCAAACATTGTGACCTTACCTCTCTGAAAGTGTTAGACGTACCAAACATTGTGACCTTACTTATCTGAAAGTGTTAGACGTACCAAACATTGTGACCTTACTTATCTGAAAGTGTTAGACGTACCAAACATTGTGACCTTACCTCTCTGAAAGTGTTAGACGTACCAAACATTGTGACCTTACCTCTCTGAAAGTGTTAGACGTACCAAACATTGTGACCTTACTTATCTGAAAGTGTTAGACGTACCAAACATTGTGAC